TTTTGACCTTCCCTTTCTCACGCTCGCTCACTCTCATTCTCTCTCTCAAATAAATAAAATATTTTTCAAAAAAGGGCAAAAAAATATTTAAAACTTAAATTCCCTTCTATTCTTTCTTGTAGATATCTAGGACGGTTCTACAGCCTTGATTAAAACATCTTTAGTTACATGCACCTGGTTTTTATAATGTCCACATTTTCTTGCCTAATAGAAGGGGCCAAAATAAAAACTTTATATGTAGATGCCTCTGTCATTAACCCTTTTTTCTTTGGTAGTAACATGGAAAACACTAATTTTAAAGATACGAAAATGGAGAGAGAGTTATAACAAAAATTTTTATAGGATTTTCATCTGATTAATTGTTGTTTCCTGATATGCAATATAAAAATGAAAATGAAATAGAAATTTCTCAGGTTGCAGAAATTTTCCTAGTTTGCTGGAATTTTTGCGATAATATACAAATTATAATCTTTTATCTGGATGGCCCTAAACTTTCTGATCAAGTCAAACAGAAATATGTCTGACTATCCGAACAGAAAAATGGTTATTTGATTCCTAAATATGCAATAGGCAGTCTGCCTTGGCAAAAGACGGGTTGACAAAACAAAGTACAGATTTCATCCAACTTGATATTCCGGTGCCTACTTTGCTGACCTAAAGAATTACTTACAATGGTCCTGCAACAGGATATAGCAATTCTGTAATGAATTCACTGGAGAATGGTAAATATCACCAGGAAAAGTCTCAGATCTCATTCCACTCATTCTGCCAATCTACAGAAACCTGTATCCATGGGAACCTCAATCCCTATCAGGAAGTGTGCACTTGATACCAAAAAGGGTAAGAATGTTTCCTGGAACAGAAAAAAAGAAAAGAAAAAGAAAAAGAAAAAAGAAAGAAAAGAAAAAGCAAGCAAGAAAGCAAGCAAGCAAGCAGCTGGAAATTAAAATGATAATTTTAATACTATAGAATATATTAATTTCTAGGTGGGGGTAGCCTACAGAGATGATAGATGGGAGAGGGATATTTTTGGTGCATTGACCAAGAGGGAAGGACATTAACTGGGCACAACTGGGATGAGTAGCTCTGACTGCATCAATCTGGGAGAGAAATGTCAGCAGTTAACAGGATAATCCTTAACCCAGGGATGGGTGATGAAAAGACCACCTTGAAAGTGAAAGGGTAGAAAGCCACTGAAAATATTTTCTCTGGTGTCAGACATTAGTTTATTCATCCACTCATTATTGAACGTGAAGAGCACTAATTATTGAGTCTGAGGCTCAAGTTGGGCAATTTGCTCCATGTTCATAATTTTATCCTTCTGAATTCTAACTTGAAAACTGACCTCCTTTGAAGCTGGTAAGTGTGCCAGAATGCCAGACTGAAAAAGCAAAATGTTCTGTGTAACTATGGAGTCCTTAACCCTTACAAGAAAGGCATTTGATGGGGAACATATGTTATGTGGATATTGATAAATGAAGAGATTTCCAAAAGTCAGAGGGCATAATTAAGAATATTATATTTTCTAATATTCATAATTTTCACTCATGTCCTAAGACAAACAGAAAGGGGATCATTAGAAATTAAGGGTTTGGGGATGCCTGGGTGACTCAGTCAGTTAAGCCATTGCCTCTGGCCCAGGTCATGTTCCCAGAGTCCTGGGATCAAGTCCCACATCAGGCTTCTTGCTCAGCAGGGAGCCTGCTTCTCTCTCTGGCTCTTCCTGCCACTCTGCCTGCTTGTGCTCTCTCTCTGTCTCTCTGACAAATAAATAAATAAATAAAATATTAAAAAAAAAAAAAGAAAAGAAAAGAAAAGAAATTTAGGGTTTGATTTCTTTTCCTGACTCATTCATTGAGTTGTACCCAGAAACTCCATAAGCAACAAATATTTTAATCCAATGATTCCCACTTGTGATAAGGAAAAGAGATATTAATATTTCTCATTCTTCTTGTTTGATAAAAAAAAACCTTCCAGTTTTTCTAATTAAAAAAATCTTTACTGGATTATGATTTCATGGATATTTTTTAAGTTATCATTCTTATTTCAGCCTGTTGTTTGACTGCAATGCTGGTGACTAAGAGTGGAACTATCCTTGTAGGTGGTATAAACCCTCTCCTCCCTCTCAAGGATTCTTTTTTTCCCTACATAAATTAGCATAAATTGATTTTGCTAAAAAAAATGAATCTTGATTAGCAGGTAAAAGCAAATGTATCATCAGAAGAAGGACCAATCTTTTTGATGCAGTTTCAAGATGTGCATGGATGGGCCACAAATCTGTCACTCTCCTTTAGAAGTTTCTGCTGTTCCCCCACAGAAGAAGGGTTTAAATATAAATATACATAGTACATTCATATTTCCTGATTAGGTTCATTTAACTATGCTTTATAGCACAAACATCTGTTATTGTATTTGCTGCTAGTTTTTCTCATGTATAAGCCCTTATTAGTGGGCTTGAATCAAACTAAGTCTCGAAATGCTGCCCACTCAGAAATTCACTCAGGGGGACAGATATCATTCTCAGCTCTATGCATCTTGTTCTTATCACATATTTGATTACTACACAGTGGACTTTACTCCTGGGGGAATATTCTCCAAGTTGTTTTTTTTTTTTTTTTAAGATTTTATTTATTTGACAGAGATCACAAGCAGGCAGAGAGGCAGGCAGAGAGAGATGGGGAGGCAGGCTCCCTGCAAAGCAGAGAGCCTGATGCGGGCTCGATCCCAGGACCCTGGGATCATGATCTGAGCCGAAGGCAGAGGCTTTAACCCACTGAGCCACCCAGGTGCCCCTCCAAGTTGTATTTTTAATTAAGTTTTTTTTACCTATAGTTATTTGCTTTGAGCTATGCTGGAAATCTACCTACTTTGAAGAAGAGACCTTGTTTATAGCTCATTTTGAGTAAAGGGTCATTTTTTTTAAGATAAAGAGATTATTTGGTAATTGTATAATTTTTCAAGGTATATCTGTTCTTTTGGCATCAGTCCTGCATTCTAAACTCCAGCCTGTGGAAAGCTAACATAGGATCAAATAGACATTAGTTTTTCTAAATGAGACTTACGATTCTTGAGCTTGTGGCTTTGGGAACTAAGATATACAGCTAGTCGTTTAGTGATATTTTTAAAGTCTATTTTCTCAACTAAATTATAAATTCACACTTTTATCTGAGAAAAGTATGGTCATAGATGTCATTCTTGTAATATCCACTCTTGGAAGAAAATCACAGTAGCATTTCAACAAAAGGAACTCCCTTTTTTGCTTTTTATTCTCTACATAGTTCTGGAAAAAAGAAATATCTGGATTCCCTAATTCCTTTCTGCTCTGCTTTCTCTTTTTGGGAGTGGACTGTGTCCTGAATAATGACTGTGTGACAGTGCTGAGTGGAAGGCAAGGAAGACCTATGGCTTTTACCTCCTAGGAAGTTTATATGCTGAGCCAAGGCAACTCAGCATTTTGGAAGAATAAAATAATTCATTACAATAAAAAGTTAGCACTTTCCACATAATTGATAATTATCTATTAAATAAATCCTTTCCCTATACAATTTTGCTTAAAGTACCATCCATACATTATCATATTCTTAACTTTATGCTTTCTTATGTTTCACACATTCTTTTACCCAAACCAGTCCTCCTGGTATCAACTGATATTGAATGTTTGAATTTTACTTCATCAAACTAAGATGACATAGTTGTTGAGATAACTCATTAATGGCAATGTTGTATGAAGTGAAGTTACAATTATAGTATAATTTTGATAAAGTAGAATAGGGAATGCATGTTCGTAATCTTGTGTGAGAAAAAAATGAAACTTAACTCTTCCAAAGAGGGAGGGGCAAGGTAGGGAGAGAGAGAGAGAGAGCACGCGCGCACAAGCATGAGCAGGGGATGGGCAATGCACTAGACCCTAAGATTGTTATGAAGTCCTTCATGAACTTAATTAAGTATGAGCGCAGTGACTGGTGTTATAAAATGACCCCAATGACTTTTATTTTAAATGTTATTAAAATCACTCCAGCTTCATTCCCATTAACTCTACTTCCTAGTTCAATGATACATTTCATGCAGTTATATTTTATGCAACACCAAAAGGTTTTTCAAACTGGCCTCTTCCTTTTAATTACAATTACAAGCTAATACAAATAGATTTTTAGAGTCACACAGAACTCTTTCTACTTCTGTTATCATAACTTACTCAAGAATATAGTTAGGTGTTCCATTTCCCCAATGGGTCATAACTCTTCCTCCATATATGTATTCTGATGGACCCATTTAAACCTAACCCTCAATATACAAAACTGCTCAATACTATGGAGACCTGAAAGTACATTTGTGGCATCAAAACTCACTGTAATCTTTATAATGTTAAAAAAAAATGTGTCATTAATCATCAAGGCTGAACTTGACTGCTGAGCTTAGTTAGTTTCTGATGTTAACCTAATCAATTGGCAATAGATACAGATATCTCGAGATTGAAAAAAAAAATTCATCTCTAGATATCAAGAGAATCACACATGTCTGTCAGGTTAGGCCAGGTAAAGAAAATATAGAGATTAAATGGGAAAATATTTTAAGAAGTCTTCTGCTTTCATTGAAAACCAAGTCAAGAGCTCATGTCAATGTTTTAATTCAAAATGATAAGGTGAGTGTACTTAAGCTTTTACAGAAGACTAGGACTCATTTGAGTCTCCAATGTTCATTTGGTAGCAAATATAAGATACTGTCTGTGACAGGAAAAGCCGGACAACACCTAAAATGTTCATTCATTCGGCAAGTTCATTCATGCAGCAAGTTCATTCATTTAGCACCTACTTACTAGGTGCTGGCCAGACAGAGGTGACAATGACATGATCCCAAATATATGTTGCCTCCAACGTTTCACGTTAATTGTGCATTAAATTCTAAAGGTTAGTGAACTTACAGAATTAATTAAGTGTAAAGTTAAAACACTGTGTTTCACCAGGACTTTATAATACAGGCACTAGTGTAGAATTGTGGGTTTAGTAGACATGCCGTCCTCTAAATTCACTCATGACTTGCACTGGGTGGATTTTTTTCTTTGCTGAGCCTCGTCTGACAGCTGCACAAGTTTCCTCTGGCTTCTCTCTTTTAATCAAGGGCTTTTTTGCAGGAGCCTTCATTCTCCACATCACAACTGGGTGCCGGGGCCCAGCAGGACTCTGAATTCGGATGATCTTCGTTGAAGCAATGTAAGACATTTTCACTGTTTGCACCACAGCATTCATTAAATTTTTGGCTGCTTGGATCAGGGAGGTGACGCTGTCCAACTGTAGGAGGAAAAAAGACCTATTATTCAAGAATGCAATCAGAAATTTAAAGAGATTTAATGTTATAGAAACTGAAATGTTTCACTTTGCTTTCACCCCAGAAATGAGTTAATCCCTATTTTATGTATCTGTGTAAATTATCTACATTAATCCATCCACCTAAATTTATCATTTATTTATCTGATACATAAATATATTCATATTCTCTTTTTTAAAAAATAGAGTAATATTATTTATTATTTTCGATATGAATATATAGTAGGATTATATAACCAATAGCCTGATGAAGCCTAACGGTTACTATGATGAGATGATATTTTAAAAAGATTAATTTCCATCCTTGGTTTTCAGTTAAATGGATGCTATAACTTCTATATAATATTGTAAGGTCCAGGTCTAGATGGTCACTGCTTTCTTTGTAATGAATCTCCCTATATGCAGAGGTAATTCTGAGCCCTTTTTATAAAAGATGGCAATCCTCAAGAAAAGCAATTGTATGTGTAAGTTGCTTTATAAAAACAACAACTGAAAATCTTCCTTCTAGGAAATTTATAGTTTCAGATAAGTATTATACACACACACACAGCACATACAGGTGTACACATGCATGTACACCATTAACTTCCATTAACCAAATATTTCCCAAATATTTTCACTGAAAAGTGTCTTTTAAAACACAGAACTTTCAGACCTATCATGCAGTGTATTAAAGTAGATAAAGCCAAGTCTTTTCAATCAAATAAAGTTGAGTTTAAATTCCAGACCTGCCTTAGAACTTGGGCAAATCATTTAACCACTTTCATCCTAGTTTCCTAAAATATTTAGTAGAAAAAGTACTTACTAATGTTAAATAATGTGTGTCAAGGACCTAGTATAGTGATTGCCAAATAGCTGATTGTTATCAAATACATTTCCTTTGTTTCTTAGGAAGACTGACAAAATTGTCTAATTATAAAGATGCACTAATGAAAGTACTAAAACAAATGGTTTCCCACATGATTTTGTTTTTAATTTTTGTCTTCTGGATTGTTCACAAAAATAATCTCAGGGAGAAATGGAGTGATATTCATAGAATTTTGCAAAACACTGTAGAGCTAAGCTGAGTTGGTTCATTTTTATACGACTAATGCTTCTGCCATTATTTTAGTTTGGCAGATGGTCATCCCCAGCCAACTCACACAGGAAGCTGTGCCTCCACTGTCACCTCTCTGTGATGTGTGCTGTCAGGGCTGAGACTCAAACACCGGCTCTGTGTTGCTAAAAATCCATCAGCAGCTGCGTGGCCTGAGTACTCTACCTTTGCAGCTCAAGGATTCTCATCTCACATACAGAATAAATGAGCGAAGGAAAGTAGGAAGCTGAGGTTATGTGCCTGGGGCAGTGGTCTAGCTGGCTGCTTCCTAGGAAGAGAATTTAATTAGCTCCATTATATGCCAAGCCTGAAATTCTTGAAAAGGTAACACCAAAAAATATGTAAATGGAAAGGCAGTAGTACTGGGCAACTACACCTCTTTAAGTCGTTTTACTTACTGGAGCCAGAAATGTAAAAATCTGTGCATGTGGCAGGAATGACAAATACTCTGCAAACATTAAACAGGATTTCATGAAACAGTGACACGTATTTCAGAGGATACTTAGAGCTTTTCAATCTGTACACAGCTTTAAAGAATGAACACTAGACTTTGAATAGAATAAAGCACTTCATTATTAATGTTCTTCTATGGACAGATTAGCGGCTGAAATCTGTCCTTTAATAATTAACAATTTTTATTCAAAACCCCTGGGAGCCAGTTAGATTCTGAAAGTAGTTCCTAATCTCACCATAAGGAGAAGAAAATTTTTCTAAATGATGAATTAACATGAATAGTATTAAGGACCCTTGGTAGATATCCCTCTCAAACATGAATATATCTGATTTACTCCAAGGGCTCTGTGCTACCATCAAGTCTTTCTTTCATAGAAGAACATTCTAGAGACCTGCTATCATTCAGAATTTCATTAGTGGCTTTGGCTTCTCTACCTTCTTGTCTTCTTACATGCATGTCTCCTCTTTTTGACTTTGTAATCTTATCACATGATATACCAGTGGTATATAGAAATCAGTAGTTTAGAGAGGATGTTTAAGATCAATCCTTGCCTTAAAATGTAGATACTGGTTTGTCTTCTTTCTTCATTGAATCAGCAAAGCCCTGTCTATGCCATTGTGATCTCTTACGCGGACCTCTGACAAAGCCTTTTATTTTAAAATTCTAAATGGTTGTAGTAAAACTTCTCCTCTGGGTGACCCAGAAAAACCATAGGACCAATTATGCCCCTAGGAGAGTGTGAAGACTAGTTTTGTAGACAAATTAGGACAATTGCTACAAGAATGCTGCCATTTCATGAGGAAAGCTTGTCAGGCATTCTATACGGATCTTTGAAGTCTAAGAGCTATGTGTGCTAAGATGCATCACTCTGCTATTAGCCAAATCACTGGCCTCACAAGCAAGGTACACAGACAAGCCTAACAAATTGTAGGACATTCTGTTCGAGGTCCAAGCAGTGGTGCAAGCCTACTCATGGAAAATAATTGCATGATTTCCTTGTCTGCAAAAATTTTTTATAAGTCTTCTTATCCAGGTCCACTTTGATAAAAAATTCTTTCAGGGAAGCATTCAATAGTACCTTCTTTGTGAAAACAAAGTCAAATTTGAGCTGGACAGTACATCACTTTGGGGTTTCTGTGTTCAACTTATTGAACAAAGTTTTCTGAATTTTACAAATGCACCCGTGAGAGACAAGAATGTTAATATACTCTAAAGGCTTAGTGCAGGAAACCAATCAGACTATAAAACTCAGGTCCAAAAATTCTCATACCATCATGAATCACTTTCATTAACTGAACATTCTTTTAGGCGAATGCAACTTAAAATGTGTACCATAAGGAACTACTTTCCCTAAGATCTGGTAACATTCCTCTGTGATCTAGATGAAGTGTTCTTGGTCAGAGTATCAACCAAGAGCAAAAATGGCTTCTAAGACCTCAAACCTCCTAAGGATTATATGTATATATGTGCATTCAAGTTTTCTAGCCACCCCCTTTTCCATAATAATGGACAAAGTTTTAAATAACTCTTAAAAGAGGATTTTGACCTAAATGAAAGGGCTCTGATTCAAATTGGAAGTCTGTTCTCTTACAATAGTAAATAGGAAAATAGCCACCCTTCCTATGCTGGTGACTTGTCCTTATTCTTACAACTCTGGTGTAGCTTGAAAATAATTGTGCTTGGGGCACCTGGGTGGCTCAGTGGGTTAAAGCCTCTGCCTTCGGCTCAGGTCATGATCCCAGGGTTCTGGGATCGAGCCCCACATCCAGCTCTCTGCTTGGCAGGGAGCCTGCTTCCTCCTCTCTCTCTGCCTGCCTCTCTGCCTTCTTGTGATCTCTGTCTGTCAAATAAATAAATAAAATCTTAAAAAAAAAAAAACTGTGCTTAGTGGTCTACTAATGTTACAGTAAATTTCTCAATATTGTCTATGTACAAACATAAATTAGTAAGCTCTGCCTCACTTTTTTTTTGAAAATCTAAATAAATAGAGGAAGACCCTTTGGTAAATTGGCTTTTACCCTAACTGTAAGATATATCTTGCAAACAATCCAAATTATGATGATCTAAATAGAGTCGTATTTTATAGGAATCTTAGTTTAGTTTATTTTAGTGTCTCTGCTGTGCTTTGTGGTATGTATTCTGTGATTCCAGGCTACAGTACAAATTTGTCCAATTCTAAAAACATTCTCAGACAAAAGGTTCAATCCTACTTAGAGATATGTCTATAATGTTTTGCTATGGAAAAGGAGTAGTTCAAAAGCAATAAAGATATTTTCTTTTTCCTCATAAAATATCAACTTTTTGTCCATGTGACCACTATACACAGAAAGTACGGATCTTTTTACAAAAACGAATGTTAAATACCTGTGATGTAGTCCTCCATAACTACAAGGTGGAACTCCTGCTGGTAAACCCTTCTCAAAATTCTATTGTGATATTGATAGCCAAGAGTAATAAAAAAATGAGGTAATTATTCCTTCTTTTAATTTTCTAAGTTTCTCATCTACATTATGTCAGAACACCAGAATGTCTTGTACTATACTATTCTAACTCCCCATATTATCAGGTATGTATTTTATATGAGGATGCTCAGGAAGTGAACCTCACTCCCATTGATGTGGATCTCATCTCCTTGCACCTGGGCTATCACCTGGGGAAATCATCCTCTCCAACCTCTGTGTGAGCTGCCATGAAAGCTATTGCTACTGGAACTCCTGTAGAGGGAAAAACCTGCTGTTGCCTGAAAAGATGTATTTCCTTTCCTAAAACCTCCTGGGTAAACTGGTGCCAAGTGTAGACAATGAAATTCTTGTGAGTCTCAATGTTTACCTAAGCTTAAGACCCCTTGTTGATGTTGCACCTGCACAACACAATACTCGAAAGGCAAATGTGTGGAGTTTGGCTCCAATTATAACAACAACTTATAACTATTGATAATATCTATTGTGTGCTTCCTGTGTATTGGCCCTGTTCTAAGTAGTTGACATATATTAACTCACAGTAACCCTATGCGGTAAGTACTACTCCTATCCATTTTATGGATGAGGAAACAAAGGAATTGGAAGGTTTGGTAGCTTGCTCAAGGCAATACAGCTGTTAAATGGTAAAACTGGAATCTAAGCCAAAGCAGTCTTGCACAAGTACCTGGTGCTCTTACCCATTATATACCCTGCTTTTCAGTAATATGTCACTCTCAATGAGTGTTTATTTTTAGGTATGAGTAGTTGGAGAACTTGCACTAACATTAATATAATGTCTAAAATTAAAAATTGACTACCTAATAATGGATTTGGGGAAGGTTATAGAATTTTTGTAATGTATACTAGTACTAAAAAAAATGAAGTTATCTTACTTGCCAAGGTATTTTGTTAGGATGGTGATTTGATAATGTTTATATTCCATCACTTTTTAAAG